AGAGGTTAGAGCTCATGTTATGTGTCCTTATCACAATAAAATAAAGAAAAGAATCTTAGGACTTGTGATCATAACAACCACAAACAACACAACACACTTTCCAGAGTGCAGAGTCTGGACTACTGAGTAATCAACAATCAATCAAGCTCACATGATCCTGTGGACGTGGCCCCAGAGAGGGAGAGGGATGGTGGGGGTCTCTACTCCTTGTGGCCAAATCCTCTGCAGGCACCTGGCCACCCGCTGAGCACTGCTCATGGATTGTTCCTTGGCTGTCACGCCTCCCAGAACTGGAGATTGTTTTCACTCAAGTTATCTTTGGGATCCTTTCTTTTTTTTTCTTCTTGGGGAGGTGAGTAACCAGGAATTGAACTCAGGGACACTCGACCACTGAGCCACATCTCCAGCCTTATTTTGTATTTTATTTAGAGACAGGGTCTCACTGAGTTGTTTAGTGCCTCACTTTTTCCTGAGGCTGGCTTTGAACTCAAGATCCTCCTGCCTCAGCCTCCCAAGCCACTGGGATTACAGGCGTGTGCCACTGAGCCAGGCTGGGCTCCTTTCTGAAGGAATGGTTTGCAATGACTCTATTGCCTATATACCCTAACATAAGGGTAGGCTGGAAATATGTTCTAGAAGGACCTGATGGGAAATCCACTGCCCCTTTGGAAATTGCCACCGGGCGTAACATGTGACTTGCCCAATGGTTCTCACCTGGGGCTGATTTCATCTCTTCCCCAGGGATTATATGCAATGTTGGAGACATTTTTGAGTGTCAGTTTAGGGTGTGTGTGCCAGGAGTCCTGCTAACCATTCCATAATACGTGGAACAGTTCCCCACAAAAATGATCCAGTCCCAAATGCCAACTGTGCTGAGGTTCAGAAACTCTGGGTCATAGAAATTACTTTTAAAAATAAAACAGTAGGGATATGGATTTATACAAAATGCTATTGCTAAGTGAAATCAAATCAGCCGTCCTTTCCAAGGGAGATATTGAAGTGCAGTGGTTACTAGGTTGGCTTTCATGACAAATGAACGTAAGCTGGACTCCATACAGCTGGGTCTGTACTTAGTTGCTCTGTGATCTTGAGCAAAGTATTTGACCTCTGTAAGTACCAGTGTTCTCATTTGTAAAATAGGTACAGTAATGGTGCAGGCCTCACTGAATTGTGATAAATAAATGAGAGAAGCATATAAAGCATTCAGCACAGAGCATAGCATTCAGTAAGCACTCAAAAATGGAAGCAAGAAAGAACAACATCAAGGAAGGATAGCATCTTAGAAACCAAGAAATGAGAGCAACAACCCAGCAGCAAGAAAAGAGAGTGTTCCTCTAGAGAGGGCAGAGGGGTGGGACGGGAAGGGAGGGGGCAGGGGGTTAGCAAGGATGGTGGAATGTGATGGACATCATTATCCAAAGTACAAGTATGAAGACACAAATTCATGTGAACATACTTTATATACAGAGATATGAAAAATTGTCCTCTATATGTGAAATAAGAATTGTAATGCATTCCACTGTTGTGTATTTAAAAAAATAAAATCAATTATTAAAAAAAGAGAGAGAGAGAGAGAGAGTTCCGTCCTCAGACCTATTTAGTATTAGGACGGATTCCTCTCTGACTCCTGCTTATGAAATCACCACAGAACCTTCCCTACCACCCAGAACTTCACCGTCTGAATTCCTGCTGGCTTTGATTTTCAGTCTTCAATATTTATTTCCTGAAGGTAAACAGTCGTGGCCGGGGCCTGTGCAGGCCTTCACACAGATTGAAGTGTTCTCACCAGGAGCTGGAGCCGGGACAGGGAGGCTGTGGGGGCGCTCCTTCAGAGGCGCTTTGGGTGACCTCAGGAAAACAGCCTGCAAAAACACAGCAGCCCAAGGCAAATAAACTCAGACCCTTCCTGGTCTAATATTCAGGGCACGAGTTCTCACAGGCTGGGAGGTCTCCTGGACACATCTGGTGGCTGGAGAGAGAAAGAGAGGAGAGAGCGAGACAGAGAGGAAAGAGAGAGAGAAAGAGAGAGAGAGAGAGAGAGAGAGAGAGAGAGAGAGAGAGAGGTGGGGGGAGGAAGGGGAGGGAGAAGGAAGGATAGAAGGCTATAGGTTGAATCTTGAATGTTCCTGAAACGTCCATGTATCAAAAGTTGGGCTCCCAGGGTAGCATTACTGGGGGGTGGTGGAAACTTAAGGAGACGGGCCTAGTGGGAGGTCTTTAGGTCACTGACTGTGGTCTGTTCCTCTTTCTCTCTCTTGATTCCTGGTCTGCCACACGTCCCACCATAATGTGCTAACTTACCCCAAGAAGCAAAGGGTCTACCCAACCACGGGCTGGACCCTCTGAAATTGTGGGCCAAAATAAACTTTAAAAAAAAATAAGTTGATTATTGCGGGTTATAGCAATTATTGCAGGTTAAATCAAGCTGAGTAACACAGTAAGCAAGAAGGAGCCATAGTCTTTACGATGTAATCATAGAGCAATGGTCCATCTGTCCCATTCCATCCACTGGAGGCAAGTCCCTAGGTGTAGCCCACACTCATGGGGGCAAGAATGCCACAGCCATGTCAGAAGCTGCCTACTGCAAGGAGCTGTGTGTGCAGTTTGTGGATCAGGTGGGCCCCAGGGGTGAGAATCAAGTAAAACATTCCTTGCCTGTGCATCTCCTGGGACACTGTGTATCTGGGAGCTAGTGGGATAACCTGTGTTTTCAGAGGATTTAAACTGGAGAAAAATATTACTTCTGGCTTGTGGGTCTTAGAAATGGTACATAGGAATAGCCCTTATAGTTTATTCATTTGGTTCATTTAACTCTAATGTGGTGTGTTAGGTTCCTATTGCTCTTATAATAAATCAACACAAACTTAGTGACTTAACACAACACAGTTTTATTCTTTTATAATTTTGGAGAAGTCTTAGTTTCAGTAGACTATGGTCAAATTACTGTCAAGGCTGGTTCCTTCTCAAGTGCTAGAGAAGAATCTATTTTCTTACCTTTACCAGCTTTTAGAGGCTGCCTGTGTTCCCTGGCTTGTGGCCCCACCCTCCATCTGCAAAACTCAGCACTCCAGCCTCTGCTTCTGTCACCTCATCACCTTCTCGCTGACTCTAATTCCTCCTTTGTACCTCATATAAGGAGCCCTCTGATTTCACTGGGCCCACCTGGTTAACCCAGGGCAATCTCTGCATCTCAAGATCTTTAACCACATTCCCGAGGTCCTTTCGTTATATTCAGGTTCCAGGAATCAGGCTGTGGATATCTTTCAGCAGCCATTATTTAGCCTATAACCTATAGGCTTACAAAACTGACTGGTGTAGCCAATTAAGGAGTCTCAGCATTATCTTCTAATGCTCATTACATTCTCCTTCGAAATCCCTCTGTAGCCCTTCATTGCTTACAGTGCTGCAACCTGACTGTGCAGTACTAGCCTGGTCACCCCCACATCTGTCCTGCCTTTCCCTTGCCAAGTACATTTCCAAGGTTCCTTGCCAGCTACCTCATGCTGGGTTTGGTGAGTGCCCTGGTGAGTAACTGGCAGGCGGGAGGGGAAAGCAAGGGTTTACCCTCTGCCCCACTAAGCCGCAGCACTTAGTGCCTGTGCTCTTCCATATGGTACTAGCTTTTACTATGCAGCATCCACAAGGGACCCAACACCCCTAGGGGAGCCCCAGACTCAGACTCTGGGCCCCTGAGAGTGGCAGCAACTTCCTGATAGTGTAATCCACAGATGACTTCACCATTCCCTCATTAGCTTTTCAGCTCTTCTAACACCTTTTAACTAATCCCCTTATCAAATTCTTTCTCCTGACCCACCAGCTTGGGTCCCGTAAGTTCCAACTGAACCCTGACTGATATACTGGATACCAATTTATACAACATTACTCCAAACCATTTGTTTAACTTTACCTCCCAGATTCCCTTATAGCTAATCCACACCACATGCTTTTCCTCAAATACACTTTACTGTTTCAGGAAAGGTGTGCTCAAACCACTCCTTCTGTAGGGAGTGTCCCTCCCCCACTATTGTCTTTGCTTATACAAATATTTTGGGTCTTTGGAGAATCTTTCCAAAATCTCCCTTCTGACACAATACTCTCTTGATTACCATGCCTAGATTTTTTTTTTTCCTTTGCAGCTGAAGTGCTTCAGCAAAGCACGGTTGCAAAGCACGCAAGACTTGATTGATCACACAACTTTTATGTCCTGGAGACACGAGATCATGAGCTCCCACCATTTTAGCCTGCACCATATACTCTATGGGTACTCAACAAATGCTCTATTTAGTCAAATGAATGTTGAAGTTCCAATCATGTAATATCACTATTCTCTGTTAGATAAGAGAAGGTAATCAATTTTTATTTTACCTTTCCTAATTATTTTTAACCAAGGCTTGAAAGACAGAAATCATATTTTTCAAATTTCAAAACTTCTCTCCAATCTCTCTATTCTAGTTCATTTAAATTGAGTCTCAATCTCTTAGACAAAAAATTAATATCTTTGTTTCACAGTACATACGTGTGTAAAAAGAATGAGGAAAACGTATATTTCTGTTATTATCACTAGTGAAGAGGTTGGCATGACTTTTTTTCCTTGTTCCTTGGCAATTAAGCCAATAAATATGCAGTGTGACCAAGCCCTGTGCTCTTCCCTTTGTGTGATAAACTGCGGAGTTCACCAAACACGTGTACGTCTGACCAATTTCTTTTTCCATCTGTGTGAGTGGGAGAGATGACCCAAAGCAAAGTAGCCCTACTCCACCACAGACATAAGATGGTTGGGAGTGACCAAGCCACTCAACCAGGCCAGGAGAGTGCTGATGGGGAGCACAGGTGAGTCTCCTTAACTATTAGGTGTCTGCACTCCAGTTGAGCCTGGAGTCCATGCTTCTCTTCATGCACAGCTGCCCAAGCTCAATTCTAGGGACTTACTCCCAGGGATATCTACGCACTTCATTAAGAGGCATGCTGATTTGGGCCCATTTCCCCTCTTTCCCTGCTAGCACCACTGGCCAGAAAGTGTTTGTCACTATTCCTAAAGAAGATATGACCAGGACAGTCAATGCCTAACAGTTGGGCCACCAGGACCAAGGGGCTTCATGGAGTCACCCGGATACATGGTTATTGTTCCAAGCAGCCTTACACACAAGACAGCAACTTTGACTTTGAAAAGACACAGAATCTCTGAGAACATACTCTCCACAACCTTCCTCAAGACCAGAGCTTTCTGAAGAGGTGACTGTTTTTTTTTTTTTTTTTTTTTTTGGCCCACCCCAATTCTGTCCTGAGAAATATCACATCTGGAGATACACAGCATTCCAACTGATAGGTGGCCTAGTGCCTAATATTTTCTGCTTGTGGACTTGCTTTTGAGACACAGCTACTCACATTTATGGTTCCTGGAATTGTCTGGGAGTGGGATGTGGAGTTGGAGAGTGGCCATGACAGTAGCAAGGCGTGACTTCCCCCTTTAGATGGCGGCACCTGTGGCTACTTCCTGTTACATCTTCATGTGGCCACAGGGTGGCGATGTTTAGGAATGTTACTGTTATTTCCCAGGGGCTGTTTAGATCCTTAGGGTAAAGCCAAGCAATGCACAGAAGTGACTGGTGGTAAGGGTAGGACCAAGAGCTTCTAAACCAAATAAAAATATTGCAACTGAATGCTTCAAGGCACTTGAGTAAATAAAAGTGGAACCAGCTGAGTCCCCCATGAAGCTACATTGCCCAGGTACCCGTAGTCATCCCTGATGATTCATCTCATTTCTGCTACCACTTTTGTAACATTTCTACAATTTTGTCATGTAACTAGTTTAGCACCAACTGTGCTATAATATCTCCATCTGAATCAGTAGGCTTCCCTGTGGGATTGGAAGCCCCCTGAGGGCAGGACCCACGCTTTCTGTATCTGCTCAACCCTGAGGCTGGATCATGAACAACCTAGGTTCATTGCATGCTCAATAACTGACTTGCTGAATGAAATATTATGAGAGTTAAGTGACAAATATTCTCATAGATCGGTTTGTCAGAGAATGAACCCAATAGGTGAAATTTGGACTCATTTCGGAAGAAAAAAATAAAGGAGAGAAACTGGGGAAGGAAGTGGCACGTAGCCCCCTCCCTACTGATCTCTTCCAACCCTGAGCTGGGGAAGAAGACCTACTGGAAGCAAAGGGGCACGGAGAACTGTAAGGGATCCTCAGGGTGCTATCCAGGGAAGAACAAAGGAGTACAAGAAATACAAATCAGAAAGGAGGGTCAAGGTCATGAATTTGGGAAATTTAAAAATGATGTTAGTGGGGTCAGGCGCAGTTGCACACGCCTGGAATCCTAGCAGCTCTGGAGGCTGAGACAGGAGGATCCTGAGCTGAAAACCAGCCTCAGCAAAAAGCGAGGCACTAAGCAACTTGGTGAGACCCTGTCTCTAAATAAAATACAAAATAGTGCTGGGGAGTGGCTCAGTGGTCCAGTGCCCTTGAGTTCAATCCCTGGTACCTCCCGCCAAAAAAAAAAAGATGTTGGTGGGGACTTGTTACTTGATTCTTTCTATTTTCCCGCAATGATTGCCCAAATTTGGTGTTGAGAAAACTGCCAGAGAGGTGATGAGAAGACCCAAAGCTCTGGGTGTAACCAAAAGCTCAGTCCTCATCCTCAATGCCAACCCAATAACAGAGACAAGGTCTTGAGAAAAAGGGAAAAGAAGGTATATTCCTTTGCTAGCAAAGGAGAAACACAAGGGAATCCTGTCCCAAAGGCTGTGATTCTACATATCCACAGGAACAGAGGACTTTTAGAGAGGTGATTCAGAGAAAATGAGATTAGGGAGGAGAGATCAGGAAGGAGAGAAGTTTAGGGAAAGAAGATCAGTGAGGAGAAATTCAGGGAAAGAAGATTGGGAAAAAGAAAAACATGTAGTCACAGCATCAAGTGAACCCCTGTTACACGGGGAGGCAGGAACAAGTACCCTGACCTACTCTGACTCAGTGGCTACTAGGTGTGGTCCTGGTGGTGGCCCAGGATCATGACCCTGGGTTGCTGTCCTTTGGCTCAGACAGGCTGCTTCCAGCTTCACTGATGCACGCCCCTCTCCATCAGCCTCAGGAGGCCCAGAGGAAGCTGCTGTTTTGTGACTTTGTAGATGGGAAAGAAACTGCAGCTACTTGTCAGCAGGAGTTGAACAGATCCCACGGGGACCCTGCAAGGTTGCTGATGAGCACAGATGAATCGGGAAGCCAGCAGCGCCCTAGGAAAGTGTCGGGTACATGTTGTGCCTCTCACACAAATTCAAAAAAATTATTTTCTTTGGTTTGCAACACAGACATCTTTCAGTGCAGTGCAAGTTCAGCAAATTATTGAGGATCTTAGATGCCTCTTTTATTTCTGTTAATCAGATTATATTGACTGATTAAGTAAGATTTATTAATAACGTTCACTTAGGCGCAGCAGAGCGCTTTATTAATAAGTCATTATGTTGGGGACTTGAAATGCCTGGCATTCAAAAAGCAATTCCAGTTGCTTTTGTATTGCAAATTTCTGGACTCTTGAAGAAACTAGCTTATACCTGGTGTGTTACATTCCTGCAGTGCTTAAAGATATCTTAGAAAACAGCCAGGAACTTGGCCCAAACCTTGGCACAGTATACTTATTGCTTTGCTTAGAAAGATACTTGCTCGGGGACTCCCCCATCCTGCCTTTAGACAATCTCCAACTCCAAGCGACTCTTGGACAAGAGATAAACAGAAGCAGCTCCCCTGTACAACAGTTGGGTATACCCATTTGTCTCTTCTTCCTTCCTTCCTTCCTTCCTTCCTTCCTTCCTATTCTCTCTTTTTTGATATCTCCTCATCTTTCTTCCCACATTTACCTTCTCTGATTTTGCCACCCTAGTTTAGCATGGCACCCAGTGGTGTCCAGGGACGTCATGATGAGTCAGTAGTTGTTATATGGAGCCTTGGTTCATGGATCTTACACTAGACCGTATCTCCCATACCCACTTCAGAATATTAATATGAAAGCATTAATTTTTGGAAGAGACGTTCACAGCAAAGAGAAATCCCAAATAGCAAAATATAAAACATCAAGAAAGAATTGAAGAAAAAAATGGATGAAACCAGAGTACCAAGGAAGCTTGATTTCTGAGTCATCCCAGAATGGAGCAGAAATTAATTACTCAGAGACAAAACTCATTTTCTATGTTAGAAACAATCCACAAAAGACATTTCTTGACCTTAGTTCTTAATCCATTGTATTTGGCAGATAAAATCGAGGTTCTCTCTCTCTCTCTCTCTCTCTAATCTGCTAAAATTTTCTCAGAGAAAGCTAATAAAATATTATCTGGATTGAGTTACATTATGTGCATATGACAGCAAAGACCACACCTTGATTGTCCTGCCAGAGATATGGATCTTGACCAACTGGAGAACCAGAGTTAGAGGAAACAAGCAAACATACCAAAGACAGAAAGCAAACAGTCCTACAAGGAAAAGAAAAGTGAAGGCCTGGCTCTGAGCATGAGCAGGGGAAAGGTGGGGGGAGCCGTGGGAAAACACAGATGGCAGATCAACTGTAAGTATGATATTAGAATATGGCCTGAGTGCCACATTGCAAATACGGCCCAGGGACATACATTCAGGGTCAGAAAGAGGAGAGATCAAATCTTCATGCTGTCATTTGTCATCAGATATGTGAATTTGTCTTCTGGTGACTTTGTTCATTTGAAAAATGAGGTTGATAGCACTGAAAAATCAAATGAGTCGATGTAGGGGAATTACCTGTACCACTCCCTAGACAGAAGCAATCTATGACTATTGGTTGGGGCAGATGCAATCACTCTGCATCATCAAGTTGCCCACAGTCCAGTTTCCTGCTGTGAGGTGTTTCTCCCTCCCCAATAATATGACAGCACTTTTTACCTGACTAGGTCCAACAGGAAAAAAAAGGAGATGATAGCAACCAATTTTGGGAAACGGTAAGCAGATGGATGTGTGATGACTGACTTGATAGAGCAGAGGGGGCAGGATCCTTGGCCCCAGACAAGCAGCCCAGTACCACAGAAGACACCCAAGACCCAGGCATCCATGACACAAGTGTGTTGGAAACGGCTTGAAGGCAAGACTACAAACAGGAATACTCATTAAAAGTTTACTGAAGACGTATGTAGATCTTGAGCTAGCTTCTGCTGCTCTATGTAGCCTGGGGACTCCTTATTTTTACCAGCAGAAAGTAGTTTTTTCTAGAGAGTAAAAAAAAAAAGTAGGGGATCTTGGGGCAGGAGGCACTGTTAACATTATGGACACCAAGAAATGGGGAATTGACTCCCAGCTCTCTTCCCTCACAAAGGTTTAGATCTATAATCCTCAGAGAGGATTTCAGATGATCCTTCTTTGTGGAATCTGACCAGTTCAGGCAGAAGAATGTAAAAATACTAATCAGAGCTTCCTTAAAGGATGGCTCAGCCAGATCAACTTTCACTGAAGCCCACATCCAATGAGCCCCACAAACTTGCTTTGAACTTATAATCAGGATTTTTTTTGGGGGGTGGGGGGTACCGGTGATTAAACTCAGGGGCACTTGACCACTGAGCCTCATCCCCAGTTCTATTTTTTGTATTTTATTTGGAGACAGAGTCTCATTGAGTTGCTTAGCACTTCGCTTTTTGCTGAGGCTGGCTTTGAACTTGTTTTTTTTTTTTTGTTTTGTTTTTTAGAGAGAGAGAGAGAGAGAGAATTTTAAATATTTATTTTTTTAGTTTTCGGCGGACACAACATCTTTATTTGTATGTGGTGCTGAGGATCGAACCCAGTCCGCACGCATGCCAGGCGAGCGCGCCACTGCTTGAGCCACATCCCCAGCCCCTGGCTTTGAACTTGTGGTCCTCCTGCCTCAGTCTCAGCTGGGAATACAGTTGTGTGTTACCGCGCCCGGTTACAATCAGGTTTTAATTTTTTACTCTTAAATATTAGTAAGCAACCAAAAAACACTAGCCAATTGAGTTAAACCTCAAAATTAAAGATGGAAATAAAAACACAGCAAAAAACAATTTGTAGAAGCAAAGACCATGTAGGAAAGAACACTTAAAGTTATAATTAATATTGTGTTAAAGAATAGAATTCTGTAAATCAGCATTTTATGTCATAATAAAGCACATAAAATTTTAAAAAAGTATAATTAATAGAGTCATAGAAAGTACCTACGGACATTTTTATTACTATTACTGTATATATGTAATGGACTGTATGACCAATGTGATTCTACAATATGTATACTCAGAAAAATGAGAAATTATATCCCATCTATGTATGATATATCAAGTATATAAGTGCATTCTACAGTCATGTATAACTAACTAAAAAAAACAAATAAAAAATTAAAAAATGGAAATAATAAAAAAAAGAAAAAAGTACCTATGGAACAAGAACAAGATGCTATAAAAAATCAAGGGACTAAAAAAAAACTCTTGGAAATTAAAAGCACTATTGCTGAAATAGTGTTCACCAGAAGGGTTGGAAGATAAAGCTGAGGAGTTATTTCAGAAAGTAAAACAAACGGGCAGGAGCAGAGGAGAAACAGAAGATATTTAAGATAGGAAAAACAGAATGAAGTCATCACTAATTCAAGAAAATTTCACACAACTTAGGCACCCAGAACCATGGGTGGAAATGACTCCATATTAAGTTACATTATCATGAGTTTTCAGACACTTAAAACCAAAAGAAGGTCTTATAGACTTCCAGACAGGAAAAACAAACTACATATAAAGGATTGAATCTGAATGGCTTTGCATTTCTCAACAACAGTTCTTAAGTCTACATGGTAATGGATCAATGCCATCAAAATTCTGAGGTCTCATTATTTCTAGACTTCTCTATATTCATCTATGTATTAATGAAATGAGAGGGCAGCATAAAACATTCTCAAAATGTTAGTTGCCAAGCACTTAACAAAAATCTTCTGTTTGGAGATTAGACAAGAAAGAGGAAGTTGTGAGTTTTAGGGAGGATGAAGAAGAAGCAACTGTGTACCAAGTATGAGGGCAACCAGATCAGATAGGAGCTGTTAGCATTTCCAGAAGGGAGAGCTTCAAGATGAAAATGATTGAATATTGTTATGTCTGAGTGTCTTGATTTAGACCATTGAATGGCTGTGAACAATTCTTCACTAAATGTCAAGTACATCTAAACTAAGCAAAGAATTACTACTGACTCAGGGAAAAGCAAAATTATGCATAAGGTAGTTGGAGAATATTATAATAATCATTTGCTGCAACTTTTTGTTACCGGAGGGTGCAAAAATCGGCACAGCAGCTGCAATGTGCGCGAGCCGGTCATGGCGCAGCAAGGACTTTTCAAGCGGCTGCAGCGGGCTCTTCCAAGCCCCCGCCCGGGGAGCAGGACACCACTGCTGGGAGCCCAAATCTAGACCTGACCTGGAGGCACAGTCTCCCAGGCTCTTGCTCCCTGTGCTGGGAAGCAGTTTGAGCCCCGGACTCTCCCCGGGGCCATCTGGGGCTGCCCAGGACGCTGCAGGTGGAAGACGGCCCAAGTCCCTGAAGTTTGATCATTTCCAAGGCCAGTACTACAATGGTTCTCCCACACCTGGAAGCTAATGAATAATGAGCACTATATTAAGGCTTATATCAAATGTAAAAAACCTTGAGATAATGTACTAAATTGTTCAGAAGGTTGTTTTCTTAGTGCCTGCTGGAATACTACAGGATTTTCTTTAGCCATCCGAGTTCCTGCCTTCGTCCCAGTGCCGGTAAAGACCAAGGTGGAAGAATTTCCAGTGTTGCTGAGAACCGGACGAAACTTTGGCTGAGACCTGGACTGTGATTTAAGCTAGCTGCCTGCAGAACTTACCTGGACTGTGATTTGACCTATTGAGATACTGCTTTACCTGTACTGAGACAACAAACTGTAATCTACAACAAATTGTAACTCAGTATCTTTGCTGACGGTGTCATTGCTGGTATAATTTTTCCAAGGGCTTCTTGCATGGAGCCATCAAGTGGCTTGGTATTGTGGCATTTTGTATCCTCCCCTTCTGCTTGTAGCAGATTATTTATGGTGTTTTGTGTAAAAACCACTATGGTCGTTATTTAAATTAAACAAAAGGGGGAAATGTTAGAGTCTGTAAACAAGTCAGGATGGTGCCTGGCAAATGTTAGAGTCTGTAAACAAGTCTGGATGGCGCCTGGCATTTTGCCAGAGGGAGTGGTTTGAGAAGTAACAAAAGCGAGCCATTAAGTGTGGAGATTCCTTATTGGTTGACTGCTGTATCTAGTTTACGTTAATTAAGATAAGCTGTGTGGAATGTATAAATACCTCTCCTGTCCTACAATAAAGGACTCCTACTCCTGCTGTATCAATCTACACAAGTTGCTCGTCACCACCCCCCACCCCACCCCACCCCACCCCCGTTATTTTGCTGCAGCCGGACTGCAGCAATTGGCTATTGAGCTAACCAAGTTTATGCACTATGCACACAAATACACACACAGCTAGACTGACAGATAACTATCCAAAAGATACGTGTGTGGGGCTGGGGATACCACTAAGTTGGTAGATTGCTTGCCTTGCATGTACAAGTCCCTGGGTTTGAACCCAAGCAACACACACACACACACACAAAGGAAACGTGTGTGTTAATGGTAATGGATAGAGGGATAAATTTCATCTTCCATAGTAGAAAGTCCAAATGTAATTTCATCAAAAGACATGAAGAAGTAACCTCAGTAATGTGTTTTTTTAATTATTTATTTTAATTAGGTATATATGACAACAGAATGCATTTTGATTCATTGTACACAACTGCAGCACAAATTTTTCATTTCTCCGGTTGTACATGATGTAGCGTTGCACCATGTACTTAGGGTAATGATGTCCATCTCATTCCACCGTGTTTCCTGCCCCTATGCCCCCTCCCCACTCCTTTCTCCCTTTTGCCCAATCAAAGTTCCTCCATTTTTCCCATTCCCCGCCCCACCATTATGGATCAGCATCCACTTATCAAAGAGAACATTCAGCCTTTGGTTTTTTGGGATTGGCTTACTTCACTTAGCATGATATTCTCCAGCTCCATCCATTTACCTGCAAATGCCATGATTTTATTCTCTTTTAGTGCTGAGTAATATTCCATTGTGTATGCCACATTTCTTTATCCACTCATCTATTGAAGGGCATCTAGGTTGGTTCCACAGATTAGCTATTGTGAATTGAGCTGCTATAAACATTGATGTGGCTTCATTACTAGAGTACACTAATTTTAAGTACTTTAGGAATAGCTGGGTCAAATGGTGGTTCCATTCCAAGTTGTGTTTTAATTAAAAACCTGAAAATATTAGGTTAAAAAGTATGTATATTAACTATTGAGGATTATAGAGGTAAATTCCATGAGAATAAGTTAAAAAGATATGAAAGTGGGCTGAGGTTGTGGCTCAGAGCTAGAGAGCTCACCTAGCATGAGGCACTGGGTTCAATCCTCAGCATCACATAAAATAAAGGTATTGTGTCCACCTATAACTAAAATAAATAAATAAATATTTTTTTAAAAGGTATAAAATGTTTGCATCCAGCAAGAAAATGAGAAAGGGTGGGCGTGACTTGTGCTATTTTTCATAATAAGCCTTGTAAAACCATTTCACTCTTTAAATGAATGCAGGCATTTCTGTGTTATACAGAAAGAAAAAAACAGATGTGACTCATATCACCCACAATTTTATCTTTGACATGTTAATCTATAGCTACTATATTTGTAGTAGTATATGTTACTGTAAATAGTATATTGCTTTTGCACAACATACTGTGTCTTTTCTAATCACATAAGCTTCCCCCATGGAATTTGTTTTTGAAAGTGTAGGAAATTTATTTCATTTTGCCACATATGGATTTCCAGTTTTCCCAGCACTGTTTTCAGCATTTGTTGAAGAGGTTATCTTTTCTCCAATGTATGTTTTTGGCGCCTTTGCCTAGTAGGAGACAGCTGGGTTTATGTGGGTTTGTCTCTGTCTTCTATTCTGTCTCATTGGTCTTCATGTCTGTTTTGGTGCCAACACCATGCTGTTTCTGTTACTATAGCTCTGTAGTATAGTTGTGTTTTAGTAACATATCATGTATTTCTCTATTGACATCAATTGACTGCCCATTCTATTTGATGTTCCAAGAAATAGCTCATCTCAGGGTGGCCTTAAAGTTTCCATTAGTGAACAACTTCCACATTTGATATTTCTGGGTCTGCAGGAGGGATTGTTGATGGTTTTGTTTTGGTATTTACATTTGTGATATTCTTTGGTGGTGAAACTACTCCTCAATAAGTGGAATCAAAGGATGCACCTGGATACTGCCTAAGATTGAAAGTATGTGCATGTGTTAATAATAGGAAGTAAACTTTTAGGAAGTTGTCCTAAGAATAATCAGACATGAAGTTAAGTTCACATAGGGACTGGGGATATAGCTCAGTTGGTGGAGTGCTTGGCTTGCATGCACAAGGCCCTGGGTTCAATTCTTAGTAACACACACACACACACACACACATGAAAAAAAATCACATAAAAGATGTTCATCCAGGACGTACTTATGAGAGAAAAACATTATGATACCCTTAATGCCTGACCAGAGATTACAATAGATTCAAATGGCAGAACTCTATGTAGCCATCAGATAACATATTAGGCAGCATATCTGTGGTATGGAAAATATTTATACTATGTTGCTAAGTGAAATAAGAACAGTAAACCCAAGCCCTTATGTATATGCACATAATTTTTGTACAGAAATCATCTATGTAAACATTTTTTAAAGGGAAGATACACATTGAACTATTTGAAGTAGTTGTAGTAGAGTATTTATAACCTTTAGATTACTTAAGGTCTGTTTTTATTTTCCAAGCTTTCTTGGTGAAGCACAAATACATTTTGTCATTAGGAGAAAAGTGCTATTTAAAAAACAAAATCAAACAACAACAAAAAAAATACACCCCGATTTATTTTCCCTGCTACCAAAAAGTTTTAGCATTGCTGGAATTGAGATTATCGATGGAAGGAGTAGAAATCGTTTAGATTGACGCTATTGCTTCCGTGGCCCGGGGTTTGGAAGACTTCACCTATTTGGGGCCAGTTATGTTATTTGTTCTAGCTGTGTGGGTAGACTTGCTTCTTATCACCCTCTGGATTTTTCGGATTACTACCATTTTCAAGTAGTTTATAAGAGTATGGTTACTCAAACCATTCTAGGGTATCAGATTTAAAAGATTCGCTATTTGACTTAAATCAAAGGCGCTGTAATTGGGGAGTGAGGTTCCCTGCCAGTTCTAGGCGATCAGGAGATTAGACTGCTGGATGTTCCCCCCATCTACTCACACAAGAGGCTTCTTGTTACCGTATAAACCTTCCACGCTACACTTGAGGCACCAGTGTCAAGAATACTGGAATTTAGTGAAATACTCATACCAGGCCAGAGAGGGGAGAGTGCAGCAATGTATCTGTAACTGTAGGTGGCATGGAGCCAGGGAAAGGGCCTGAAATGACAACTAACACTTGCACAGTTGCTTACAAGATGCCCGGGCCCTGGACTGAACGGTCCAGGATACTGTGGAGGCAGGAAATGGTGTCGTTTTCCCTCGTCCTGCATTTTAAACAGATAACTCTATGAGGGACATGGTGGTAGTTGGATTTTAGGACTAAGCCATCTAAGTCCTTAAAAAAGATTTTCCCTTAATATGCAAAGCCACGTTTGTCCACACCATGCCAAGCTTCCATAGACACATCATGGAGTGGCATCCAATCAGACTCGACCGTATAGGACAGTGGGTTATCTAGAAGTTCTGATGTCTCCCAGGGGAATTTTCACTCATGATTTCATTGGATAGATTGCTGGTGGTGGGAATAGAGGTGGATGGGTGGGGTCCTGGGAGAGGCACTCAGAAACAGACAGGCTTTCCAGAAAACATAACTGAGGAAGAATGCATGATGAAGTTTGTATTGGCAATTGAATCACCAAATCAGGAGGCAAACATGAGTGAGGACTTACTTAGGGTCGCTACTGCGAGGACAAGTGCTTTCCGAGGGTGGTGAGTGAGGCAGAAGTCTTGAGACTGGAGGACCTTGCATAGGATAACAAATTACAAATATGGAGTTCTTAGGAAATTTCCAAATGTGCATGATCCATTCAACTCCTGCAGCCTGGCTGTCAGTGTCTTTTAAGCCCTGCGCTGACTCTGCCCTTACTCATGCATGCTATGCAAAACATGATCTGCATTTGCTAGGCGTGGTTTCTCTTCTGTCATCTCGATCCCAGGTCCCTGATCTTGTGCTTTCAGAATGGACATCACAAGATTTGTGAATTCCCCCAAATTCCATGCATATATTGTATATGCATGCGTGTTACTCCCAAAGAGGTCCCTGACTCAAAAAAGAGTGGTGTGTCTGGTGTGTCTGGGTGCTATGCTGGAAAGTGTGTGGGGGATTTTATCTTTAATTTGTTTTGTATTAAGATTTAACATCCATTTCTTGGGAACTTACCAGTTACCGCATTTGATAAATCTGTTTGATGAGTTTGAAAGTATGTGCATCTGTTAATAACAGGAAGTAAACTTTTAGAAAGTTGTCCTAAGAATAATCAGACATGAAGTTTAAAAAGTTCACATAGGGACTGGGGATATAGCTCAGCTGGTAGAGTGCTTGCTTTGCATGCACAAGGCCCTAGGTTCAATTCTCAGCTTTAGATTTTGTTTATTCAATCTCTACCCAACCCAGGGAGAGTTCATTTTATCTCCATTTCACTCTGGGAGTAACATATTCATGATGGCGAAGTAACTTGCTCAGGATCTCACTACTAGTAAGAGCTGTGTTGTTTTCGGACTTCCCTGACTCCAGGAGGCAAAGTCTGGTCTTCCCCTGACCTTAGTACAAAGGGCGAGGCAAGACACAGATCTCTCTATACAGTGATTAAAATCATTGATTGGCAGACAGGCAGCCTGTGAAGGTGGACATCGGATATGGGTGATGGAAATTCATAAAAGTTTTGGTCTTTAGAAAGCCTTGAATCCTAAAAGACTCTCTCACAGTCAAAGGATCCCTAAGGAAACTGCAGTTAGTGACAGTTCATCCATACCACATGGATAAACCTAGAAGATATTATGCTAAATGAAATAAGCTGGTCACAAAAAGTCATACGAAATGATTCCACCTACATGAGGTACCTAGAGTAGTCAAATTCATAGAGACAGAAAACAGGAGTGGGGGGCTAGGGATTTGGGGGAAAGGGGTATGGGAAGGTACCTTTAATGGATTCAGAGTTTCAGTTTAGGGAGATGGGAAGAGAGCTGGAGATTATTTGCACTACAATGTGCATGCAGTAAACACTATA